ATCGGTAAATATATCATTTATAATTTCCCATATTCTCCTTCATATTACACAGTGATTAAAAATTCCCTGCTTCTATATCATCAAGTTGCACTTACGCGTAGTTCGATTTTTATAACCGTTTTTTACACGGCCCTACACACTCTGCTCCACACACGCCGTAAACGACTGTAGCACTGATCTCTAGGCCTTGTAAGTTGCATTCGCATTCTGTCGACTGGTGATGCTTTCCTCGTTATGTGTGTTGTTCTTGTTCTTGTTGCTGTTGCTGTTGGTGTTGTTGTCAAGCCACAGGACAATTCAACTCGTCCAGAGAGTCCGGCAGCTGTAGGAAGCACATCACAATGTTGCCAACTCTATGCCATACGCCCGACGGTGTGCCACCAAAAACACACACACACACATACACGCATGCACACATGCACATGCACATGCACACTCACGCCCCGTATGAAGGCACACTGACATTTGGGCCGAGGCCAGGCTGAATGCTCATCTGCACTTACACATACCCACCCACCCACACACACACACACACACATACACACACACAAAAAGAGAGACTTCGGTTCACCAGGCGCTTGGTACTCACCTGCTTGTATATGAACCACACATCATTGTTGATATGTGACATGACTTTTTGAGGTCCACTTTCATACAGCCACAGGCTGCATCGTAATCGTGTGGCCTGGTCCAATTGACCACTTGCCCTACAGCCCCGCAACACCCAAATTGCATGTCCAAACTTTACGCTTCTTTCGACTTCTTTCGTCTGAGAAGGTTGGTGCGCAAGCTGTATCGAAACACGCATGCAATCCTCAGGCCTCGATCAGACGCTATTTTTTTCAGAGGAATTCTTTCTTTCGTCAAGTCCTGCTGGCCCTAGCTCCTTCTAACGACTCTGCAAGCCGATCTACCGACTGAAAGTCATTGCTGCCTACAGAAATAAAGCTTATTTTGGTGCTTCCATTATTCTCACGAGATTTGCGTTGCAAGCTATGCTTAACTGACGAAGGAGACTTACATTGTCTGATGTGAATCTGGATTGGTCGAGAATACGACGGTTGTTCTCCCGTTTTTGGGCAAGATTGACGATTAACTCATGCTACCTTGAATAAAACTAATCTTTGTAATGTGTATACAAATGTCAATAATTTCAGTCAGGCCTTGTTCTCTTTTTGCTTTCACAAACTGCGAGGCACGACAAAACCGACCAGAACGTCTTGCGCAAGTAGAGTTGAATGAGCAACTGTGTCGGCGGCCGCATTCACGGTTGATGATGTTCAAGACGAGATTTGACATTTTTATTTTCTCCGCTAAAGTTGGTATGAATTGCATTACAAGATTTTGTAAACAACGGCGCAGCACGAGTACGCTTCCAGACGATCAGAGACGGATGACCCGAGATGACTAGAGTTTGTCTAACTCGCCAAAGAGTAGTTACCGGCTGAAAGTAGATGGTTTGATACGATAAAAAAATGGCCCTTATCTTGTCTAGAAAAGGCTATTCTTAGCTAAGATATACCGTATTTTTCGCATTTAAGTATTGTTTCGAGACTATCAGTAAATCAGTAGTATGAGATGAATTCATTTAATTTCGTTGAAGGTGATGTAGGACTGGTAGAAGAAGAATTTTCCCACAATCATATGAATAGAGTCTTGCTTTCCCAAAAGTTGTT